TAGTTACTAGTTACAAAACATTAGGAATAAATGTTTTCATTGACTGATTAAATAATTTAACACGCACATATACACACACCTAGGTTGGGAAGAAGAGTGAGATGGCTTTCATCTGTTGACTTGCTCATCAGCTTCCAAAGGCTCCAGGCTGGGAACTGAAACAGGGGTCTGGAAATCAATTCAAATCCTCCACGTGGATAAACCCAAGACCTTAAACCAGGACTGCTGCATTATCCTAGTGTCTGCATTTTCCTGAAACTGGGATCAGGAATAGGACCAGGCACTGTATTCATATAGTCAGATATGGATGCAGACATCTAAATTGGTGTCTTAAACCACTATGGCAAATGTTCATAACACTGTTAAGGCAAGCCAAAGAAGCCTCAAAAACTTGGAAGATATACCGTGTTCATGGATTGAGAGAATTAATACTATTTTTAAAATGTATAGTAGTCAAAATGATTTAAAGATTCAATGCAATTCCCATTTAAGTACCAGTAACATTCTTTACAGAAGAAAAACATTCCTAGAATTTCTATGAAATCACATAGACTTCAAACAGACAAAAACAATCCTGAGCAGATGATCTCAAAACATACTACAAAATTAAACTAATTAAAACAACATCATACCAACATAAAAGTAGACACTTTGACCAAATTCACACATGCACATACAACTGTCAATGAGGGCAGTAAGAACATATGTTGGAGACAATGATGTCTCTTCTAAATGGCGCTAGGAAACTATACATCTATTCATAACAGAAACTAGTCTCCAGGTTTTATCATAAACAAAAATCAATATCAAATGGGCCAAACACCTACATTTAAGAGCCAGAGTTATGAAATCATTAGAAGGAATGAAAGTGAAATGCTTAGAGACGTGGCTATCAGCAAAGACCTTTTCGATATGACCCAAAGCAACAAAAGCAAAATTGACAAGCAAGATTACATAAAACTAAAAAGCTTCTGCAAATAATCAACAGATTCAAGAGAAAACCTACAAAAGGACAGAAAATATTTGCAAGTTATTCATCCAAAAAGGGGTTAATTTCCAGAATACATAATATACTCAAACAACTCTGCAAGAAAAAAATCTACCAAGAATATGATAAAAAATGGGAGAATAATCTGAGTAGACATTTCTCAAAAGAGGACCTTAAAAGGCCATCTATTAACACAGCTGGTTGTTGGATGAATTATCACCCAACTCCAGTCAGAGTGGCTATAGCCAAAAGATAATAGACAACCGTTGTTGCCAAGGATGAGTAGATTGGGAAAATCTCATAAGCTGTCAGTATGATTATAAAGTAACACAGCCACTTTATAAAATAGTATGTGTCTAATATGTGCCTAAGGAAAAAATCTACAACTACAACTGCTAAATAATCTGGCACTACCACTACTATTTATTATTATATCATATTATACTACATTATATTATATAATGTATATTATATATACTATTACGTATATAATGAAAAAGTGTGTCAAATAACTTCTATTTACAGACATTTAATGCAACATGAGTCATAAGATCCAAATATATGACAGGTGTTTGGTGGGCCAAAGCACCCAGAACAACCAGGATGGGTTACCAAGCAACTGATCAATACATTTTCATCTTACAGAAGCAGTGCTGTGTCCCAAGGAGCAGCAGGTGCAGAGCCAAGAGGAAGAAGGAAAGCTGCAAGAAGAGCTAATGTATAAGGACAAGAAGGAAAAGGAACAATAGTCCTGAGAGGTTGAGAAGAGACGAGAGGAGACATCGCTTTGGCTGCACAGAGGGCCTGTTTTAAGCAGCAGCAGCGGGTTGGAAGATATGGATAAACCCTGGGACTTCGAGTTGCAGAAAGGGCTAGCCACAGCGGTGTCCTACAGGTCTTGCAATTTCACTGCACTAATTAAACTGGAAGCTTGCTGGTAAGGAGTACAAGTGCTTGTTTTGAAAAATCTCCAACATAACCAGGTGTGAAGAGTTTCTGTGAGAGAGAACTCAGAGACAAAAAAAAAAAAAAGAGGTAGAACTTTATTTTTGAGTTAAGAAAGGAGGGGAGGGGCCCGGCGCGGTGGCACAAGTGGTTAAAGGTCCTCGCCTTGCACGCCTGGGATCCCATATGGGCGCCGGTTCTAATCCCGGCAGCCCCGCTTCCCTTCCAGCTCCCTGCCTGTGGCCTGGGAAGGCAGTCGAGGACGGCCCAAAGCTTTGGGACCCTGCACCCGCGTGGGAGACCCAGAAGAGGCTCCTGGCTTCGGATCGGCATAGTATCGACCCGTTGCGCTCACTTGGGGAGTGAATCATCGGATGGAAGATCTTCCTCTCTGTCTCTCCTCTCTGTACATCCGCCTTTCCAATAAAAAAAATAATAAAAATAAATCTTAAAAAAAAAAAAGAAAGAAAGGAGGGGAGTTAGTCCTATTTCCCTAACACTGGAATCAACCTACTTGTCCTCTAATGGATAAACAAAAATCACGTGATGATATACAGAGTACTTGAGCACAATAGAGAGTACTACTCAGCCATCCAAAGTGTGAAAATCTGTCATTGTGGTAACATGGATGGAAACTGAGGACATTATATGAAGTGGCATAAGTCACACATAGAAAAGCAAATACTGTATGTCTTCAGTTAACATGTGGAAGCTAAAAAGTTGATATCATGGAAGTGAATAAAACAGTGCTTACCAGAGCTTAGGGAAGCCTAAGGGTGAGGGAAATGACAAGAGGAGAGTTCATGGGTACACGTGCAGTTGGATGAGGGGATCACTTCTAAGTTTCTCTTACACAACAGAATAACCATGCTTGACAACAATTACTTGCACATCTCAAAATGATAGAAAGGATGGCAAATGTTCTCTCACACACAGAAATAAATGTCTGATGTGACAGACTGCCTGGGACCAGAAACCTGCTGAACAGCAGGAATGACTCCATTTTGTTATTTCCTCACTTTGTAATGGTCTTGGAATGCAAGATCCAGGTATCCTTCACCTAGTTTCCTGGTAACCTTTCACCTGTAATTGTTCACCCAAGATAATGGTTGTCATGGTGACCTCTGCCCTATCTGGCCCACATCCTGCTGTAAAACTCCTCCCCTCCACCCCCAGCCCTTACCTGCTGCTTAAATACTGCCTGAGAAAATAAAGTTTTTGGAGCTTGATCAGACCTCCTGTCTTGTTCCCATTCTTCATGTCTCCTGTCCCCCCCAATTGTCGGTTCTCTCCCCATATCTCCGTTGAAGACCCCGCGGGCCGGGGCAACAGACATGCCAGTTATCCTGATCTGGCCATTATACATTCTAAACATGTAAAAACATATCTCCCTGTATCACATAAATCATATAATTACTATGTGTTGATTTAAAATATTTTTTCTATTTATATGAAGGGAATGAATTTCATGTGTTTAATAATTTTAAGAGCATTATGATACTTGCAACCCTACTTCCCCAGATTTTCAAAAGGCACTTTCTCCTAATATCATCAGGTTAGTGAGGTTTCAGCCTAAGAATTGGGGTGTGGTGGAGCACAAAGGGACGGCTCTTGGTGTCTCCTTCTCAGATGCATGGGAGGTAGAGACCTAAGGCTGACTGAAGAAGCAGGGAAGGGAGAGAGGGGGAGGAGTCTGGGAGAGAGGAGGCTGCAGGCGAGAGGCGGTATGATCCTCTGCACTTTGCTTTGATCAGCACTGGGGTTCAGGCGTAAAGGAACGAACTCTGGCCCATGACTTATGTAAACATTGCAGGTCACAAGAGTGTGGAAAGCAGGATGGTTGAGGGACCGAGAGAGGAGAAAACTCATGGCCGCTGCAAGACCCTGCTGCTAAGGAATTGTCTGAATTACCTTTTGTGTTTTATGCTGTGCATCCTGAGCATTGCACTTGGCCTTGGGGCAGACAGTCATGAAGAAACGCGAGTAAAGAGCATAAAGATGAACACACCGTTGTTCTTTTGTGTGTCACTGTCGCCCTGCTCTCCACTTGGTGAATTGCTGTTCATCTTTCAAGAGTCCATTCCTCTGTGATAATCTTCTCCTTCCCTGGCTAGAAATTCCACTCCTCCAAGACAGCCTAATTATGGCTCATTTTCTGCCACTAGATTGTCTGAAAATAGTAGTTGCTGAGCAAATGAATGGCTGAAAGAACAAGTACTCTTTTTTTTTTATTGGTTACATTGTATTATGAGATACAGTTCCATAGGTACTGGGATTCCCCCCGCCCCCTCCCCCCATGTGGACCCCTCCACCCTGCTGCAAGACCTCAGTTCTAGATCAGTTGAGATGCCCTCCCCGCAAGCATATACCAAGCACAGAGTCCAGTGTTATGGGGTACTTATGAGAGGTGTTACTACCACCTCGTGAAAGCAGACGCTGAGCATTTCTGCTGGGTTCCTAACTACGACAGCAGTGAGGCTGACCTGAGAATTCAACGCCAGTGCTGCCTCCACCCACAGTCTTCTCAGGCAATAACTGACAGCCATCTGTCAAGACTTAGGGAATATTCCGTAAGTATCTCGAGTAGGCAGTTTGGGAGTTGAACAGAGAAGAATTCTTAGCTCTTTAACACACCACTTTGCCTCTTTGTAATCAGGGATCTTATCACTAAAACCTGAGTAATAGTAAAACCAACAATCTTATACAACATTTGGTAAATTAGACTGTGAGTTCCTTGAGGTTAAAGCTCAAAACTGTTTTCCTTACAACTGTGTCCTACCACCTTCCATGCTGCCTGGCACATAGTAGGAACTCAGTAAATATCCATGGATATCCTGGAAAGCAGAAAACTGGTGGATGCAGGGGTGTTCCTACTGTCTCTTGAGACAGCTTTTCTGGGTGGATTCTTCTGGGTTAATAAATTGGGGATTATGTGATTCAAGCTCTAGCCTCACCATGTACCTGCCCTTCAGCTGGGTGGAGCAACCTTCCCTGGACTCCTGTAAGTGTACATAAGGGCAATCAGTGACAGAGAGGAACAGGTCACAAGTCCAGCACTTGCTGAATCATGAGTGTCTCCGCGCTAAACCTTGCCAGGCTCCCGGGCAGCTTCTCTGGGCTCTTGCAGGTGGCCTTCTTGCTGGGCTTGCTTCTGCTGCTGTTCAAGGCAGCCCAGCACTACCTGCGCCGCCAATGGCTGCTCAAAGCTCTCCAGCAGTTCCCAAGCCCTCCATCCCACTGGCTCTTTGGACACCTGCGAGAGGTAGGAAGGAGAAGGACAGGGGAGTGGGTGACCTCATGGGGGGGATCATGGCTCTTGGAGTCAGTTCAGCTGACCCACAGGGCACAGCTTGCTGTGTGACAAATGCACAGCCTGCAAGGTACATGAAGCTCATCTCAGGTCTGGACTCATTTCAGTGACAGAGAGCTCACCCCCTCACAGGAACTCACCTGCCATGACTCAGCTGTCATGCATTCCTCCTCATGTGGATCTGCTCTTTGTTCTGAGGCCCTGCACTTTGGAGGCAATGATTGCTCTTCCTGAGTCTCTGCATCTCCAGGCTGAGCATCCCCTGCAGCTCCAGCTGTTCTCAAAACATCAGCTTCTAGAGGTGTCCTTGGCCACAGTCACTCAGAGCTATCCTTTCTATGTGGCCCTGGACTTGCTAGGGAAGCCGGACATCAATATGAAGGAATCTCAGCCAGGGAGTGTTTGTGTGTGGAGATGATAGGCAGGACTCACAGAAGGGGTCCAAGACACAGGGAAGAGCTCGCTCAGCTGGGGTAGATGGGCTTCATGTGGTGCTGGGGACCACCTGGCTTCACGTGCGCGAGTCTGAAGGACTCTGCAAGGAGATGATCTAGGGGTGGAACTCTGATGGTCCTGGGTGCACATGAGAGAAGTCTGTGTCCTCGGGCAAGCATGTCAATGTTTGAATTGTATATTAAATAGACCCCACTCCTCTAATATGTACCTTGGACTTTGTCCACCTTGAGGTCAAGCACATCGTTCTCTCCCTGAACCTCAGTGTTCACACAGAGTGTGATACAAGGAGCATTTGGACTAGGTGTGAGGAGTGCCAGGATAAAGAGTCGCCTTGGTGTTATATTGTTATTAGATAACAATATAACAATGCGCCTTTCTGAGCTAGGAATTGATGTTAAGAGGTACTAATATCTTAACACTGATAGACGTGAGATGACATATGCACTCATCAGTACTGAATAAATTCTCTCCAATAACGTTACTCATAGTATTGAACCACCACTCCTCTTTGGTTGAGTAGTAACAACTATTTCTAGCACTTATAAGTATTTTATTTTCTTTAATACTGCTGTTATCAGCTTTATCAGGAATGGAAAACCACATGTAATTAGTTTGAACTACGGCAGTGCCAGGAGGCAGGATTTTCAGAGAGCTGACTGGCTTGGGCACCAAGCAGTCAGGAATCAGGCATGACAACAGTGTTAAAACAGGGACCCACACCTGGGATAGGCCAGCATGGGTAGATCCTGGAGAAGGAGGCAAGAAACTGGGGTGTTACTCTCTAGGTCATGGCTGCACCAGATCAAAGCCAAGAACTGATTATAAGATGGATTTTTGCAGGGATTATAGAGCAGCCTCCTAAGTAGCGGGAACAGGACATTTCTCAGAGAGGACAGGCCTGTCCATGCTGCCCCTAATTCACTAACATGTTGGTTTAATAGTTACAGGGACTTTATTCCCTCAAAGTTCCTAGCTCCTGAGAAGGCAATCAGTACAGGGTGAGTACTTACTTGATAAGCAGCTGTTGGATGAATCATGAGTGTCCCCATCCATCCTCTACTCATCTTGGATTCACTCACATTCTCAAATCACTGCTGGGCTCAGACTTCTTCTCTCTCTTTTTTTTTTTTTTTCAAAGGCTGGTCCCTGAAAGTTCTTCTTAAGCCCAGCTCAGGGGGACACCTGAACATTTGATTGAACACCTAAGGCATTTGATTGAAACATGAGACACCCAAGGAGCCATGGGAACCCAGGGAAGCAGAGGCAAGGTCAACTAGACTGTGTTTAATAGAGATCACATGGGTGTATCACTAACAGTGGCTGCCTTATTCTTCAGTATAAATAGGGTACACTAGTAATCCCTCTCTGATCACAGGTCTGGCTAGACCATTGCATAACAGGTTCCATAAAGAGGTTTCAGACATTAGAGACCCAGTCCCTGAACAGTTGAGCTCCTACTGCGTATACATTTCTAAAAGCACTTCTGAGTGAGGAAACACAGATAGCACAGGAGGGAGACAGAATCAGACTTTGGGTCATGACCTTCAAGACCAGGCAAGAGATCTGATCAGAGTCTGAATCATTACAATCAAATCTGATAAGAAAGATACTACTGATTTCATTTCCTTGGGTTACAGTTTCCAGTGGATATGGAGCTGCCACAACTGCTCAAGCGAGTAGAGAAATTCCCAAGTGCCTGTCCTCGCTGGCTGTGGGGGAGTGAGCTCCTTTTCACCATCTATGACCCTGACTATATAAAGGTGATTCTAGGGAGATCAGGTGAGTTAAATCACATCCCATCTGCAGCAGCTTTTCCTTTGTGAGTACATTGTCCTTGGTTTGGAAAACTCCAAAGAAGGTGACAGTTCAAAATTAAAGCTGTATGTATACCCTACCAGCTACCAGCCCAGCCCAAAGCCAACAATGTTTACTGAGTATACTGAAAGTTCAAAGCAGCTATGTGATCCTGATTATTCATTCTTTTTTCTCTCTTCCTTCCTTTCCCTTCCTTTCTTTCTCCCTTCCTTTCTTCCTCTCTTTTCCTTCTTTCTTCCTTCCTTCCTTCCTTTTTCCTTCCTCTTCCTTCCATCCTTTCCTTCCCTTCCTCTTTTGCCTCTTTTCCGCTCTTACTTCTTTCCTTCCTTCCTTTCTTCCCTTCCTTTCCTTTCTTTCTCTCTTCCTTCTCTTTCTCTCTTACTCCCTTCCTTTCTTCCTTTTTTCTTACTTACTTCCTCCCTCCCTGCCTTTCTTCCCTCGTTCCTTGTTTTCCTTTTTTCCTTTTCTTCCTTTATTCTTCTGTATTTCCCCCGCTCATTTTTATTCTTATATCTTCATTTATTAGATTTTGATAGCTTCTATCACTTGTTTTTGATGTGATTGGTTACATTAATTTTTCCAACTATCAGACAAAATTCATAGCCATATTAAGCTGGATTTGCCATTGTCCTGGGTCATTACATAACCAAGTACCTGTCTTCTTTGGCATGGTTACATAGCCAACGTTTCTTGCCAACTCACCATCCTGATCCTGTGGTGTTCAGATTTTGATAATCTGTGCCTACCTTCCCAAGTCCAGTTGACTTTCAAGGCAACATAGGAGGGGGTGGGAGGCTGTGGGAGGTAACTTGGAAATAAACGCAAATGAAGTCATCAAGAATGATGGTAGCCTGTGGTGTGGCCATAGCTTTCCTGGGAGCTGCCTTGCTTGGACACTGCTAGTTTCCTGTGTAAGTTCTTTCTTATCTTTCAGACCCAAAGGCTGCTCTTCCCTACAGTTTCCTGACTCCCTGGATTGGTATGTATGTCTAAACTAGAACTTCACTCACTGTCCAGGTAGATTTGCCAAGATTACCTCTTTGAATGTCAAAGATGCACACTTAACTCTCTTGACTCCAACTACACATCACGCTTCCTTTCTCTGCTTCTAACTAGACCCTCACCCCTTATTACTGATAGAGCTCCTGAGACTCGACTTCTGATACATCATTGTTCAGTTCCTCTCCAACATGCTCAGCCTGATATTGATATACATCTACTTCATGCACCTTTTCAATCTGTATCTCACTGCTGTCATAATCACATCAGGTACATCAATCTGCTTGGGAAATCCACATTTGTGAAACTCACATTATGAAGCTCACCTTCTTATGGGCTACACCATGCATGTCTGGGCTTCTTTTGTCCAACCCAAGTTATTCCTTGATATCCTTCTAACCCTGATATCCTGATACAAATACATGCCCATCTCTGGCCCAGGGAATGGCTTGCTCCTGCTGGAAGAGCATGTGTGGTTCCAGCACCGGCGCATGCTGACCCCAGCCTTCCACTATGACATCCTGAAGCCCTATGTGGGGCTCATGGCAGACTCTGTCCAAGTGATGCTGGTAAGTCCTCCTCTTTCTCACCTCCATACATGCCCTAACCCCATGCATTCACACAAAGGCCACTCTCAAACACATCTGCAGTCACAGGCACTGACACATGGGATGCCACCCAGAAATGTTCATCCCACACTTTGAAGTATAGACACTCATTGTCAAGGCTCAGACACCCTAGAGTAGGACTCACACAGGCCCAGTGCTCTGTGGAAATATGTTTCTAGACACCGCTTCTGGCACATGTACACACATAATCAGACACATGCCTGGCAGACACACACAATCTTGCATTAACACACGTGCATGTGTCCAAATGCATGACTTTCCAGGACTTAGAAGGAAGCTTCCTTCCCTATTACTATGCAGCCGGTCCCTCTTACACACTTGTTTCCCCTCTGCAGTTTGTTACCTGAGGTCAACTAATACACATTGTCAGATGGCCATTCCCTTCACCTTAGCTCATCACATGGGTGTTGTATCAGTATGAATCATTACAAGGAGAAAGGTTAGCACGGTGCAATGTGATAGCTTAAGAGAACACATTCACATGTTTTTATTATACTAAATGATAACTCAATGACTTATAGTACATTGACATAACTATTGCAATGTATTACTATTAACTGTTGTTAATGTCTTACTATGCCAATTTCATAAGTTAACTTTCTCTTAAATATGTACATATTGTATAAAACATGGTATTCCTGGGGGTTCAGTGTTACCTGAGTTTCTAAGCACTCAGTAAAGGTAGAGAGATATATCCCCTGTGAATAGTGGCAGCTGTGAATAAAACCCTATCCCTCTTTGTTATATATATAACAAAGGAGAGAGAGAGAAAGAGAGAGAGAGAGAGAGAGAGATTCCCCACTCACTGGTTTACTCCCCAGGTGGCAGCAATATAAGGACTGGGCCAGGCCAAAGTCAAAGAGTCCAGAATTCTATCTGGGTCTCCTACACAGTGACAAGGACCCAAGTACTTGAGCCATCATGCATTACTTCCCCTGAGTTGGATTTTAAGTAGAACACCTGGGACTCAAACTGGCACTCTATATGGAATGACAGTGTCCCAGGCAGTAGCTTAACTCTCTGCATAACATCAGTCCTCAAACCCTGTTCTTCTGACATCATTGCCAAAGGAACCACTCCCAGAGCAGAATCCCAGCAGGATAAATGGGAGGAGTACCTCCAACAGGACTCCATTCTGGGGACTTTTTAGAAGCCATGAGCCAGAAGCTTCCTCCAGGTCTCCCACATGGGCGCAGGGTCCCAAACCTTTGGGCCTTCCTCTACTGCTTTTCCAGACCACAAGCAGGGAGCTGGATGGGAAGTGGAGCAGCTGGGACATGAACAATATGGGATCCTGGCGCATGCAAAGTGAAAATTCAGCCACTGAGCTGTTGTGCCAGGATTTATCCTGAAGATTTTTTTTTTATGATACAGTTCTATAAGCTCTGAGATTTCTCCTTGCCCATCCCTGAATCCCCCCTCCCACTGATCTCTCCTGTATTATTATAATTGTATAGTTCTTCATAAACAGTCATAAGCATCCCTACTTCCAAGTCAAAGATGGACTCCCAGTGAAACTGTTAAATATATCTTGACAATAGGATGCTGGACTCTTTGCCATTGTTCATACCTACCTACAATGTCAGGATACACTTACATAGTGGAATGACAAGTTTATGGCTGTTCCTGGAGGCTTTCAAGCACATTTCTCTCATTACTTGACACCACCATGAAGCATGCCTCAGCCACCAAAGCCAGAGAGTAGGTCTTTAGCCTAGACGTTCAGACACCAACTAAGATGATCACATGCTGTATTAGTGTGCTTGGGTTCAAGCCCAAGCTCTGCTCTTAACTCCAGTTCCTTGCAGATGGACACACCCTGGAGGCAGCAGAGTATGGTTCAGTTACTTTGCTGCCAACTGCATGGGAGATCTGAATGGAGTTCTTGATTTCCAATTTTTGCGTGGCCCAAGTACAGCATTGTACACTTTTGGAGAGTGAACCAATAGAAGGGAGCTATCTCTTTGTCTCTCTCTGCCTCTAAAATGACCAATAACCTTTAAAAAGATGAGTAAGCCAGTGAGTATCCCAGTATCAGAATGGATCCACACTCTTCTCACCATCCAATGAAGATTCTATTGGACCTAGTTCCCTTCTCCAAGTCTTCTGCATTAGTGGACTGGAGATAAAGTAAATTCCATCAGACACCAGCACAATCTGCACATGGTTGGCCTGTACAGTGGCGGCTTCTGGGACAGCATATTAGTCAACCAGGCTCTGGCCTGGATTCAGGGCTTCTTCATGGATTTGAGTCATCCTTGTAGGGAAATGCGTATCAGGTCTACATTCTCAGAGCCCTACCTGCTGCCATGCCACCCTCTGTCACCTGGAGAACAGTGTAAGAGATTTGTTTAGTTGGTTAGTTGGCACTCGAAGTTAGAGAGACGGAGAGAGAAATTTTTTCATCTCTGGTTCACTCCCCAGATGACCAACGTGCCCAGGGTTGGGCCAGACCATAAACAGGATCCAGGAGCTTCATCCAGGTTTCCCACATGAATAGAGGTGACACTTGGGTCATTTTCCACTGCTTCTTCCAGGCCATTAGCAGGAAGGTGGATTAGAGGTGGAGCAACTGTGGCACAAACTGATGCCCACATGGAATGCTGGCATCATAGATGGGGGCCTTACCCACCACATCACAACCTGGCCCTATGGATTTTAATTTCTTATACAATTGTGATCAACAAACATTTAACAAATGAGGAAGAATGGCAGTCCACATTTTTGTTCTTAGAAGTCATAACCTGTACATTTTGATCACCAAATGGGATCCTGCCTAACCCAGAGATCTAACTCTGCTCTTAGAACAGTGAGTCCCACTGCTCTTTGTTTTTCAAAACTTGATGTTTTGTCATTGAGCAAACCATGATTCTCATAACTTTTTTTCATGAGAGTGAAGAAAAATTTAGCTTGCTATGAGGAAGCATGTTTAACTTAATCATATTTTCTTAAAAAATGGCATTACATTACAAACTCCAGCTTTGGAGGCTGAATTTCCTAAAATGAGGTATTTTCACCAGAATATTTACAGAGAAAAGAGCCTTACCTTGTTAGTACAGGGCTCCTGGGGATATGAAGAAAGTCAAATGTCCATCCCTCCCCCAACAAGGACAAATGGGAGAAGCTCCCCAGCCAGGATTCCTCTCTGGACGTTTGTGAAGATATCTCGATGATGACCCTGGACACCATCCTGAAGAGTGCCTTTAGCCACGAGGGCAACGTCCAGCTGGACAGTGGGTCAGTGTCAGCCCTCCGGCTACGGGTTCCTTGGGCTTGCCAACCGTTGTGAGCCACTGGGAGGCTGACAGATCAGCCTAAATGCTCACCTCCATAAAAGGCAAGGTGTCAACTTCAGGACAAGTGTTCATAGCACTGCTATCCCTGCCTCAGTCACAGATCCCTGAACCCCAGGGTGGGGGAAAGCCTGTTTTCTGTGCCCTCGCACAGAGGCTGTTAGATGGAAGAGATGTGTACCTCAGTGCTGCCTGCCCCCACTGTGTGAGGAATCCCCCAGAAGAGTCTGAATGCACCTCCAGAGGAAAGGTCGCCCTCCACTCTTACTATTGTCTTTCCCATCAGGACTTCCAAATCCTACATCCAGGCTGTTAAGGAACTCAGCCAATTGGTGTCCTTCCGAATGAGAAATGTGTTTCATCACAACAATACCCTCTACCGACTGAGCCCTGCAGGCCGCTTGATGGACCGTACCTGCCAGCTTGCCCATGAGCATACAGGTTCTGTTCCCTCCTCTTGAGTTCCCTTCACCACCATGCAGAGCCCAAGGAAACTACTTAGGTCTTTCAAGCAGAGTCACCCTCCTTGCCCCTTATAGCAGCTGGGTCATACTCATGTTCAGTACTTCCTTGGTGCAGGAGTCTGGAGCTGTGATCTCTGAATCATCACACTGGGAATAGTAGAATGAGGCCACATCCCTGCAACATTCAGCTCAGGTTCCTGGGCTGTGCTACTGCAAGGAGGCCCACCCTGCTTCAGAGGAAGCTGGATCCCACCATGATGCATACATCCACTCCCATACTCCTCAGTGACACCAATTTGGGGGCAGGTGGGGCTCCTGGGGGTGACAGGAGCTCTCAGCTCCACCTGACAACCTCTGCTCTGGGATAGATCGAGTGATCAAGCTGAGGAAGGCTCATCTGCAGCAAGAAGGAGAGCTGGAGAAGATCAGGAACAAGAGGCGCTTGGATTTCCTGGACATCCTGCTCTTTGCCAAGGTCAGTGTGGCAGCGCAGCCCAAATCTGGTCTAGAGGCATGGGAGCAGGGACTGAGCCTGCCCTCTCCCTGTGATCTCCCAAGATGGAGGACGGGAGCAGCCTGTCTGATGAGGACCTGCGTGCCGAGGTGGACACATTCATGTTTGAGGGCCATGACACCACAGCCAGTGGCATCTCCTGGATCTTCTATGCTCTGGCCACACACCCAGAGCATCAGCAGAGGTGCCGCGAGGAGATCCAGAGCATCCTGGGGGATGGAGCCTCTATCAGTTGGTGAGTGAAGGCCCAAGAGGTGGGAGGACCCTGCCTGTGTGAGAGGGGGAACCCTGGTGTGCCCAGCCCTGCCCCTCCCCTGCATCAACATTATTTCAGGGACCACCTGGACAAGATGCCCTACACCACTATGTGCATCAAGGAGGCACTGAGGATCTATCCACCAGTGCCAAACTTTACCAGAGAGCTCAGCAAGCCAGTCACCTTCCCTGATGGACGCTCCTTACCCAAAGGTATGCACTTCTTACTCTAACTCACCTGTGTGCTGTGCGAGGCCACGTGGAGGATCCAACATGCCCGTTTTTTCCTACTCCTCTGAATCAATCTGATCTCCCTTTGTTCATCAATAGGTGAATGTGCCTTTGTAGCTGGAATGAGATATATAAATGCCCAATACATGGCTGGACTGCACTAGAAGTTCAGTAAATATTAGTTCCCCTCTCTATACATGAAAACATTTGCAATTAAAGAGCTGTCTATTTAACTTCTTATTAAAATATTATACCTGTGTCCTCACTGGCACTTGAAAAAAATAGAGAATTAGTTATTAGAGAGACAGAATGATGGAGAGAGAGAGAGAGAGAGAGAAAGAGAGTGTGTGTGTGTGTGTGTGTGTGTACTTCTATCCACTGGTCACTCCCCAAATGCCTACCACAAGAGGAATAGGGTCCGAAGGAAGGAACTCCATCCAAGTGGATAGCAGGATTCCAAGTTCTTGGGCAATCTTCTACTGCTTTCCCAGGCACATCAGCAGGATGTAGGTTTGGATATGGAGCAACTGGGACAGGAACTGCTACTTCAAGGACTGATACATGACTCAGGCACCCCAGTGGCAATGTCACTTTTGAAAATAATGTTCACATTTGATGTAATATATGGAAAACTGCATGGAAATAAACACAAAGCAATGTGCATGTGGGCCACACTATGATGACTAACTTTTTAGCATGTTTTCCATGTGGGCATTCACACTGACAACTTCTGAATACACCCTAATCTCCTGTACTCTAAGATGTACAGAACTGGGAAGAGAATCTGATGCAGCAGAGGTAGATAAGCATCTTTTCTGGTATGTTCAAAGCAAGGGAGGAAGGTTGGGGAACCCCACATATGGATCAGATGTGATCCAGCTTCTGAGGAACTCTCAGGGTGATGAGAGAGAGCAGCTGGGGACCAGATCTCAGATCCCTGCAGCCCCTGCTTCAGGAGCCAGCATTTCCTGACCCACCACTGATGGATGTCCTGTGCAATGAGAGTCAAGCCACTCAGCCGTTCTGAGCTCCAATTGCTTCCTTAGAAAATGACAGTGGAAAAGGGCAAACTTTGGAGGACTGCTATTAGGAATGAGTGAGCTAATGCACACCCCTTGAAGCTCTTGGGAACAAATGCATGATCGTGAGCTCTTACCTGGGCAACAAACAATGAGCATTCTTGCTTCTCATCCCTGGCTTCATGGTTTTTCTGATCCTCACCTGAGCTCTGGTGCTTTGCAAAGCTCACCCTAGCACTCTTGCAATAGGAGCATTTAGTTCAACCTGAAGACTTGTGGCACCCGTGCCTTTCCTGTTTTGCACATGTGTACCACTGACTGAGGGACTGGAGCCTCCTATTCATGGATAAAAACAGCTTTTTCTCTCTGTCTCCTGCCTTTCCCAAAGGTATCGTGGTTGCACTCTCCATTTATGGCCTTCACCACAACCCGAAGGTGTGGCCAAACCCAGAGGTACAGGGGCACAGAGAGGGTGGCATGGGGTGATCTCTTGGGTTTTATACCCCCTCTGGGCTTCCTTTCTACTCACTTAACCTCCTCTTGCCCTGGTCCTGGTCCTGTCTCTGCAGGTGTTTGACCCCTCCCGATTTGCACCAGGTTCTGATCGCCACAGCCATGCTTTCCTGCCCTTCTCAGGAGGATCAAGGTGAGTGCACTGTGTGTGCTGGGGGAAGGCAGGGGGTGATGGGAAGTCCTTGGGATCTGGAGAAAAAGACACTATTACTTAGTATATAGTACATACCATCTGAATGATTCCTGGCATGTAAACATAAAACCCAGGACTTAAAAAAAAACCCACTGGGCTACCTGTTGGCCAGATAATTATACTCTAAAAAATAAATGGCTGATGTGGAAAGTAAAAAGGTTGGCAGTAATCCTTCAATGGAATACAAATTTCCATACATGATGTAAGGAAAAATGAAGACCAAAATATCTCTGAGTTTATATTTCTGTGAGATATTTAAAGCTAAGTTAATGTTTCCCTAATAGGCTTTAAGGGGACAGTTCATCCATAATCAGCTTTGCAGCTGTAGGTTTATCACAGGTCTGAGAACCTCCTCCCTCACACAGTCTGAAATAGGTATTGCTACTACTGGAGAACAGGAAAGCATGGGCTGGGCACTTTTTTTCAAAGATTGATTTATTTTTATCAGAAGAGCAAATTTTTACAGAGAAAAGGAGAGACAGAGAAAGATCTTCCATCTGCTGGTTCACTCCTCAAGTGGCCACAATGACCGGAGCTAAGTTAATCCAAAGCAAGAAGTTGGGAGCTTATTCTGGGTCTCCTATTCAGGTTCAGAGTCCCAAGGTTTTGGACCTTCCTTCACTGCTTTCCCAGGCCATAAGGGAACTAGATAGGCATGTTCTAAGCAGCATTAATGTTTATTTTCTTCATATTCATGTAAGTTATTATTAAAAGTAGACCATAGAAGCAGCCTTTGGAATGTCAGCCAAAGTATTGCTGGGTTCCATGGAGCATCCCCTCATGTGACAGGCGGAAGGGTCAGCTTAGGAACCTGGCAGGATTGGCCTCATGGTCACTCTGACCTAAAGAGTTCCCATTTTCTTGCTTATTAAATGATGAGCCTTTGAGTAGTTTATTCAGCCCAGAGCACACATCAGACATGATGTAAGTGTGACACTGTCAGAGGTTCAAACCATGTGGTCAAAATACAAGTAATGTTTCATCTGTTCTGAGCATTTTAAACAAAGCTACAGGGCAGTTCTACCCAGAGTTATGGTGATCTCTCAGGTGTTGAAAAAGAGGCAGATAAGGTTAACTCCTTTAAGGCTCAGGTTTTCCAAGCAGTAAAGACCCAGTAAAGGCAACAGCAACAACAACAAAACACAAACAGCTATCCCTAAAACATAAATTTTCATTATCAAAGTCAGCTATAAAGACAGAACATCCTGGCTGGATAGTATTAGCATATGACATCAGCATATGATCCCATTACTTAAAACAGTCCGTGAGCACAGAGACCATAAGCTCATGCTATCTGGGCTTCTGTGAAGAACTAACTTTAAAATAATTTTCTTCTAACTTTATCCAACCTAATCTCACACATACTCAACTTTCAGAAGGTTACAACAGTTCCTCTTTCTATCAACAGGAATTATCTTTTTTAACCTTTGTCACCAAGAATACATTATCTTGCTTCTAATTTCCTTCACAACTTTCTTTCCAACCTATTGGTTCCTTCAATTCACATTGTAAAACAATTCTCAAAAGGCTGTTTTATTCTTTGAGGTCTCAGACCTATGATGGGAAAATCAGTGGCAATGGCAGAGATCTATAAGCTTATCATGGCATATGTTGACTCAATCTAGAACAGAAAGAGTCTCAAATAGATGGACAGAGAAACTTTCATAATTCAGCAAGCAAGAGAAAAGAGAACCCTTTAGGTCAGAGTGATCACAAGACCAATCCTGCTAGTCTAGAAGAAAGGACCTGGATTGGAAAACACAACCCTATAGGGTGATTGGTTGGTGGTAAAGAAAAAACAAAAGGCAGTGTAAGAGAAGTCATCTGAAGACTAGTTCTTCCAGAGCTTTTTCACATTATGGCAAAGAAGAAAGGGGAGTGAGGCATGTATTTTCCTTCAGGAGGACCACGAAAACCAGGTGCTGGGTTTTATCTGCCGCACAGATGTGAAATTTCCCCATCTTCCTGACATTTGAAATGAAGGAGAGAGAGTTACGAACAGATCCTGCACAGGTTAGAAAAAACAGGAAGGGCCAAGAGAGTTGGAGTAGAGTAAGCTGGACTGTCTCTTGTTACATACTCTTCCTGCACGAATGCAGCAGATACTTCGGCTGAAAGAGACAGAGCAGGGGAAGATCAAGATGGCTAAGTTAGAAGAAAGCAGGCACATCTCTGCCCCCATAAAATATTGGCAGAGGCTTTGACTGTACTAGAAAAGGGAGTAAGGCTATAAGAAAACTAGATAGGGTGTATTCATCAGAGCAAGGTTATTCAGGATTTATTGCTACTCCCATTTTCTCCTGGTTGGCTCTGTCAAAGATGTTACTGGAAATAGCTGGTCAGAGATTCCTACCTTCACATAAGGAAGAATCCAGATGTGAGATGGAGAGTAGCAGTAAGCATACTAGCAACTGTAACAGAAAGAATACATCTGACAAACTGGGCCAACATTTCAGGGAAGAACTGAGCGCCTCTAGTGAGTTTAATGTCTTGTTTCTGAGTCTATTTAAGTCACATGCAAACTGTTTACAATGTCAAGTTGGTTCTCACTCATGGGGAAAAGGAGAAAAGATACTGTCCTTTCCTCCAATACCTCAGAGATAAAAAGCAGAAATATGTTGCACCAAACCGCATACCCATCCCACCCTCAACATAGGCATCATGCCTTGCTTCATATTTGAAGGGAAGTTTCTGAAATGATTGCTGTTCCTGAGTCTGCTCTGGGCTCTGGATAAGTGTTTCTGTCAGTAATTAGAAACTGGGGACACTGGCGCAGTGAGAGCATGATGGAGGCTGAAACACTGAGTAGGAGCAAATGGGTGACAGTAGGCACAGCTCCAAACCATTTCACCTCTGAGAACTTCCCCGCTGACACTCCCACACTCCCCTAGTGAACCCTTACCAACATGGCCTATTTGCCCCCTGAAGGCTCTGACCAATGAGTGAACTCTATGTTAAGGAACCAGACATTGTGGAGAGGGGGTATGACCCAATAATTATTAATGCATTAAACAATTCCTGTGATAAGACTTTGTTTCTTACAGCACTGGCTCTCCTAGGAGACTTTGTGTCTTCAAGAGTAGAGACAGGACAGTCTCAGAAGAGCTGTAGTGTTTGTCAAGGTCAGAAGACCATGACTGAGGCTTGGAGCCAGTGTGTGACTATTTGGAAATGGATGATGGCTAAGCCACACAAACAAGGACTCTGACTGGCCAACTCTGGGCTAGAGCTCAAGGACAATTGCCTATCCAGCTCAGAGGGGGATCTGAGGCCACTTCTCATTTCATTTTCCCTTCCCGGTCCAGGAACTGCATCGGAAAACAATTCGCCATGAACGAGCTGAAGGTGGCCGTGGCCTTGACCCTGCTGCGTTTTGAGCTGCTGGCAGATCCCACCAAAGTCCCTATCCCCATCCCAAGACTTGTCCTGAAGTCCAAGAATGGGATTCATCTACGTCTCAGGAGGCTCCACTAACCCTGATGGGGACAAGATTGGTTCTGAGAGTCTCTGCCAGGCATCCTGTCTTCCTGTCAGCTTCCGTGTCTCTTGTCCTCTGCTCACATCTTGCTTTCCAACTGACCACCTGCCCCTCTTCCAGCTGCCTGCCAATTGGCCTTCTGTCCTCCAGTCTACCTCTCCTTCTCTTACCTTCCTCTAAGATGTTGACCTGCTTATCTGCCTCCTAGCTGTCAACATTGCTGTCTGTCCACATTATCACTGATTGTTGCCAGCTCTCCAGCCCGCCTGCCCTTCTACACTTTGTGCTAATGGCTGTGCTTCTGTGAGCCTCCTGTTGCAGACATAACAAAATACCACAATCTTAGTGGCCTAAAACAACATAATAAAGTCACATTGCTGAATCATTGATTATGGTCTCTCTTCCCCTTAATTTTCTGTAACCTAAATAGTGTGGTGCAATTAAAGTGAAATATTATTGCTATGTATTACTCTATATGTAAAATGGGTAGGAAAAAGAATAAAAATGTGATACTGCATTTTCTTGAAAAAAATTTCAGTCCTTGTCCAGTTACTATTCATGTGATCAAAGCTACTATTTTCTTCTACAACTCATCCCACGTCCCCACACCCTTAGCAAATGCCTCAGCTAATTGTAGCTTTTTTACAGGTGGGATGAGCCAAACATGTCTGAAAAGTATAAAACAGGTGTGGGTGCATAGCCATACAACCACAGCTTGCTGAAGAGAAGGGGGAAACAGAGGGTAAATGTACGCTTTTGCCCTGCCTAAGCTGGAAGATTTCACAAGCAGGTTTGACAAATGCATTTAACTTTGAACTGCTGCCACCCCTGTTATTAATCCTTGTGATCATGGATCATGTATATCAGAATATGATATGCAGTCATCATCTTCCTATTGAAAATTCCCCACTTTGCTCCATCTTTGAATAAGCTCATAGTATACTGTGGCATATGTATTCTTTTTCAGCACTC